TATTATATTTTATTTATAGATTATTTTTATTAATATTTTTATTTCTTAATTATTATATATATATATAAAAAATTTTTTTTTTTTTTTGTGGTAAATTATGACCTGGACATGTTGAGTTTTTATTTATTTTTTACTCGCAAACTAGTCATGGTTCCAGTTGCAAACTTGCATTTCTTGTATTTCATAACTCTATTTGATACACTTCTAATACGATGCTGCATTAATGTTAACCAGTATAACCATTCAGTGACTACGTAAAAGAAAAAAAAAAACAGCCTAAAATTAGTTAAATTAGATGTTCATGCAGCAGATGCACTGAAACCTTATTTAATGCCTGTCTCTTGTTAATGTGTTAGTGGAAGTGCATGAGCTCTTACCTGAGTTGTCTAATGTGAGTCTGGAAAGCGTCTGCTGTGGTTCTGATCTGTGTGTGGTTCTCAAAGCTCTTGAGAAGTTCTCATGACTGTCACGGGTTCAGCTCTCACACTCACAGCCCCTCCATCTGACTGTCTGCTGACTGCCTTTACCGCGGTAACTGACCTCAGATCAGCATGATTCATGTCAGTGAAAACTGTGTAACTAGATTACAGAGAAAACTGTATTTTTGCTTAAGTTAAGTGTGTGAAATGATCATTAAACCATGTATGAGTTTTGCTCAGAGTTTAATACTGTGACTGATGAATAATCCCTTCATTTCTACAGATATTTAGAAATATTTAAGCCTCAAGACTTTGAATATGAAAGTCTTGAGGCTGATCTAAATTGTAGACCTGTACATGATGTATGTGCTGTGATTCCGACAGTCACCTGTAGAGAGCACTTCACTCTATGATGCAGATTCACAGTCAAATAGCTTTATAGGTTATGGGGAAAAGATGGCTTTACATTACTTGGCAATTTAGTAGCATTACATATACATATGTGCACATTTAGACAAATACAAGATGTTAAAGAAAGAAAAATATATTTTAAAAAACAATAGTACTAAAAAGATGTAAGAATACAGTAAACCTTTGAAATCACTACATTTGTTTTCACTTATGTAAGTGACTGAAATAAACCCAGTGACTCTTTTAAAGTCTCAAATGATGTAGTTGTTGTATTTAACACTTTTCACAATACAGATTGTTTTCAAGCAGCTTTACACACACGCACATACATGCATATATATATCAGCTTTATATATATTTTCATTTACATTTCTGTGATATAACAAAGATGTGTGTTTTCATGATTTCTAGTGATATTTTAGTGAGTTTCTCTGAGATGCATGCCACAGTTTAAAGACTGGACATGAGATAGTGATAGTAAATAAACACCTTAAGATTTTCAGTTCAAAGCAGATATACGCATGAGTATATTATACAGTAAATAAGACAGAACTGCTCTGAGCCTCACTGTTTTCAAGATGCCTATGATTCTCAGAAGTGGTTTATGTCCAGGATCTCCCTTGCTCAATAAATTAGGAAAGTGAGAGAGATTTGGCACACTCTCTGCTTACACCACAAAGAAGGAAAGAATGAGGAAAAGCTACAGACACTCACTATAACCTGAAACATGAGCGTCAGCGCAGGCCTGGTCCTGTACAAAGCCACTGAAACACCAAAAAAACCACACAGATAACAAAAGAAACACACAGAGCAATAATCAGTACTTAAATTAGTCCAAAACAAACAAAAGAAACCTTTAAAAGCTCATAAAAAGTGATTTCATCAGGTGACGGTGAGTGAAAATGCTGTCAATAACATTCAGTAGCTCTCCTCTCACAGGTGCAATAAACACAACAACAGAATCACACATGACTGTTATGCACAGAAAAATCCCTTCAGAAACAAATATGGACCATGAAACATTTCCATCGGATACTAATCAGAGCCGCAAGTGTCCACCGTTAGACCTTACTTATATATATATTGATACTTCAGCACTCAATGTAGAGCAAATGAAAATACATTTTAAACAAATAAAGAAAAGTTGATCCACCATTTGGGTAAAGTGCAGTATTAAAACAACATTTTGAATTTGTTTGATTTTCTCCATATACAGTTTACAGAACAGAAGATGAAACTGTGTTAAACGGTAAACAATAAACAGTTTGATCATAATGTTAATAATAAACTTTTTTTTATATATAGTCAGACTTTATATTGCACTTTTAGGACAATATGCTGGTTTATATATGATGATTTATGACTATTTCCTCTCTAGATTATGCACTTACATCAGAAGGACATTTTTCAGATCTGTTTGCATCAAGAGAGAGTCTAAAGAAAGTTTACAGCTTTTTGCAGTTGCTTTGGTATGTTTCTCAACTCATCCTTAAGCTATCAGTTTTAGCTACTTTCTGATGAAAGCAGTTGGCAGCACTGTCGTACATGTAACAAACTGCTGAAGATTGATCGAAATCAGACGATGCATGCAAAAGTTATTAGACACTTCCTATTTCTCGCCATAATTTCCAAACCGTTCGAGATATCAAAAGTAATTTTATTTAATTTGAAAAAGCAGTTTTATAGATCAGTTATCAACTCGTTATCAATTATCAGTTATCAAAAAACCCCATCTTTAATGTAATGTTGTTTAATAATTGTCAGAACATTGTAATCATTCAGGTGTTGCTGACATTAAATCATACTATTTTAAGCAGTAGATCTTTAGTGTAAAGAGCAGGACTGAGTGAGTCTTGAGCTCTTGTGTTTCTGATAAAGTCATTGATGAGGTGTGCTTCATCACACACACATTTGGAATCTGTAAGAGTGAGACTCAGGTCTGTTGTGAAGTGTAACTGATATATGAGATACAGAAAAAGTGCAGCCTTCAGTCATTGTCACCTAAACCATAGCCACAGTTTACATCAGGAAATATTGACGGAGTATAATATCGACAACATGGCTAAATATGTTAATATCTTGTTTGTGAACAATGACACAGGATCTTCTGATAACACTGATATGATGATATAAACACTCTTGAAAAATTAACAAGGATTGATGAAATTACAGGTAGTCTAGTGTGTGCTGCTGTTGGCTACATATTGTTTATAGAAAAGCACTTAGTAGTTTGCAAATGTTAAGCATGATTAAAGAAATGTAACAAACAGCTGAGAAAAACTGTAAGCCTTTGAGTTTGAAAATCTAGTTCCAAGATGACAAAGATGGAAACAACTGCTAATTATTTATTTATAATGCTCAAATTTTATTTCATGCAACCCTTACGGAAAAGAAGTTTATTCAAGTGTGCTATTAGTGTACTTCTTTTAAACTAAAAATAGGAAAGTATACTTTTAGTCTACTTTTTCTGTACTTCTCAGAAATGGGCTTTATGTTCTTCTCAGAAATATACTTAAAATGACATTTAAGTATACTTGGAAAAAGTCTAAATATATTTGAGCTACTGTATACTTGTGCTCCTAGAATCCGTGTTTTCATTGTTATACTGTAGGGGGCGCTAGTACACATCTTCTGTACAGAATTTCCAAAAAACACAAGTGAAGAAGAAACCAAAACAACAGATGCTTCCACATGTAATCTAACACGATCATCAGACATAAAACAGCATCAAAACTGTGCAACGTTATGGAATAAAATGTCGACCAATGAAGACGTAATAATGACTGTCAAGCTTTGGGGTGTTGAGCGACTCCATCTACGTTTTGATTATCATTCTGAATCCAATTCAGTCTTTTTTTCTTTCAGCTTTTTGTTCAAAATGTTGTTTATCTCTTTATTTTTTATGAAACTTACCACATTCAAGTGTTTAAAAAAGAATGCATGAAGCTAGAATACATTTTTTTTGTTTACAAGCAGATACCCTGTTAATTCGTTTGATGTTTTGCATGTTCAGATATTCATATAACAAAATATATACAAATTAATACCTAAGATATTCTATAGACTTGAGATCTAATTCAGACTTGTAATTCAGTGTCAAAAATACAGAACACTGACAAATGACAAACACTGCAGTGATTTAACACGGTATATATTCCAGCTGCAGTATGAGATGGAGTTTATAAATACAAAGGTTTCATTTAACCTCTTCTAAAGTCTAATGTAGATGTGATGTTCTGAGCTGTAATACCGCAGATCTCCTGACACTTATTCGATCACGTGATCATGAGTGCACACCACTGAACTATACAGTATATAATGACAGATCAGTGGCTCACACACAGTTTCAGACTGAAGAATCAGAAACTTCCTCTGCTT